AGTAAAAAAAAAAAGAGAAAAGTATTTTTTTAGTATGGATTGTATTTTATTGTGTAATTTGAATACTAAAATTATCAAAACACCATTAATAAATAAGCATGAAGAACAAATTCATTAATTGTATGTTTGGTTTGAGGGGAATATAAGAAAAGAGAAGGGAAGATTTTTTGACCAATCAAATTGCAATATTTAAAAACATTATAGTTTGATTGATAAAAGAACTCTCCCCTCCTCCCCTCCTCCCCTCCTCCCTTGCTCTCTATTTTCTTCAATTCAAATATACCACAAATGTATTTTTGATAAATTCAATACCAAACTATACAAAAGAAATATGCATTCCGAAAACACTTTTTAAAAAAGGAAAACGCTAAGAAAACAAAGTTTCATCTTATAAACCAAACAGACCATAACTACATCTGGCTCTCATAAGGGATAGTCATCGTGCCAAATTCTAATTCCCCAACCCCTTTAAATGGGACGGCCAACAGCACAAAGAAAGCCCTAACTCTAACCATCCATAAAACTAGTAAAGCTGAACTTAAACTAAAAATTTAATCTAACCCATTCATTATGAATAAGGATGCTAATAGGTGCACCCTACGAACTGGCACCTTCCCGCTACACACCACTTATAACCACTTATACAATTAATATTTTAGGACTATGATTGGTGCACACCCAAATCTCACACCCGGGTGTGCACCCCCTACATAGAAAAAAAAAAGTTGCACCAAGTGATGGGCTTTTTTTTTTTGTTTATATGGGGGGTGCACACCCGGGTGTGGGATCCGGGTGTGCACCCATCATTTCCCAATATTTTATGATTTTAAATTATTCTCAAACAACTTAAACCAATTGCCAAACATAAGAATAAACAATAAAAAATGTGAAAATTATGCCGATCTTCTTCCATGTTGATCTTCTTCTCCAGTTTATCTTCTTCTCCAATTTATATAAATTTTTCAACAACAATAAAAGTTTATAATTTTTTAAGAACCAAATATATTTTACGCAGAAAATTTTCTTTCCATCTCCAATTTTCTTATCAACCAAACAACACCATATTATCAAATTTGTAAAAATTCTAACAAAAATTTATAAAAATTCATTATCTTCTTCCTTTGTCCTTCTTCCTCTTTTTTTTTTTTTTCTTTCTCCTCTCTCTCCTCCATCATCCTCCAAATCTAGGTTCCCCTTGAGAACCCACTTCAACAAATCGAGGGGGCAAGAGAAGGATGAAGAGGGGAGGAGAGGGAAAGAAGAAGAAAAAGAAATGAGGAGGAGGCAAAGGAAGGTTGAAAACCAAAGATGCTGGGTGAAGAGGAGAGCTACCTAGATCTACAGATGGAGAACTCAAAAGAGGAGATTTAGGAGGAGATGGCAGAGAAATGTTGACGGAGAAAGAGGGCAGTTTGCTATGGACAAGCAAGGATAAGCCTTTAATGAGAAAATATTGAATTTTAACATTTGAACTAAAAGTGTGTAAGGTAGGGTGTGGATTTGGTGTGTAAATGTATCATTTCCCTATGAATAAAGTCATGAGTTTAAGGTATTAATCTAAATTTAATATGATCCAGAACAAAATTACCTGGATTCAACTAGGTAGGGTTAAGGTTAAGTTGGGTTAACTTGAAGTAATCCAATTAAAATTAATTAATCTTTAAAAATTTAAAATTTTAATTAATTGTACATTTAATTTTAATTTTTAAATATAAGATAAAATTAAATACTGTAAAATAGTTATTGTTCATTAGATTATTATTAATATTAATTTAACATATTTTTTTGACAACATAATAACACTATTAGAGAACATAGTATATTCGACATAAAATACTGTCAATTATAATGGATATTTTGTCGATTATATCATAACTGATAGATATCATCGATAGATAGCACTGTCGAAAAAATGTGCATAAAAAATAAGTATAATTTATAGAAATTATTTCTGCCATTTAAAACAGTATAACCGATAGCCATTTGGCTGTCGATTAGGTTTGTGAAAAAAGTAAAGACAATAATTGACAGCCAATTGGCTATTGATTATGTTTGGAAAAAACTAACAAAATTAATCCATAGTCATCATGAAAACTATGAAGACATTGGTATTAAGCCTCCTAAGGATGTCATATTGTATATATTTTGTATATATACAATGACTTAATTAATTATAAATGTATAATATTTTAGTTTATTTTAATCAATATATAATATTAATTAAAAATATTACACATTAATGGCACATTACTACCTAGGGTTTCGTTGGGCAAGAATCTGGTTTCTTGTCTCTGGTGTCTATGGTAGAAATGTAGATGAGAGGCATGAGAATTCAAATTGTCCAAACTCGTTAATTTCTTTACATATAACCAACTATCAAAGGCTGTCGATTATATTATTATATAACTGATAGAATATATGTCAATTATAATATATAACCGACAGCCTTTAGTGGCTATTAATTATACTAGAGTTTGCCAACAATTGAACTCATGTGGTTGGTCCAATTTAAAATAAAACTGACAACCATTTTTAAGTATAACTAACAAATTTTCTATCGAATATGTTCCTTTATATACCCAACTCTAAAATTATCACATATCACTTCTTCTCAAATCTTCTCCTACCTTTCCATTCCTCTTTCAACTCCTTCCCACACATGGTGCCCCAATTTTGTTTCTCTCCCTTTTTTCCTTCTACTTCTTCTACTTTTCATTTTCCTTTATCTTTCTTCTTCTCCCTTTTAACTCTTACCATGCATATTGTTTAAATTTTCTAAGCAATTTCATGTCTCTATAGCTAAATACTTACTTTTCTTTCATTCTTGCAACCTTTTCCATTTTCTTTATTTGGTTGTAGTTCTCCTTTATCTTCTTTCATCTATTTTAAGGTTTGTTCTTTATCTTTTTTCATTAATCATCCAAATTACTTTAATAAGATACATGATCATTTACTAATAAATAATTTTTTTTCCAGATTATATACCAAAGAAAAATGTTCTCAAGTTAATTCTTATTTTATTTATGATTAATGTTTTAATATCATTTTTGTTAACATTAATAGAATTATAATGTAAAATATTTTTTTTCCAAATTTAGCTCCCCTTTTTGCACAAAAAATTGCTTCAAATGTAACTTTTTTTGTTCATTAGTTTTTATATTATTAATTTGGATAATATTTTAGTTTTTATTCCTTGAAAATTTATTATTTTAACTGGATATATTGTTGTAGGATACGGTTTTATCACTGAATTTGGTTTTTACAATTTTTAATGGTTTTATTATTGAATTATGGATTCTATACTAAATTCTAGAAAAAAAATTTTGGGTTATAACCATAATTGACAGCCATTTGGTTGTCGATTATAGTAATAACCAACAGTAGGTTATAAAAATAATTGACAACTAAATGACTATCAATTAATTTCGTTAGTATTTTACAAACATTATCGACAACCAGTTGGTTGTCAGTTATAAGGATAATTGACAGTCGGTTGCCATAATCGAGTTAGTTGTCGACTATTTTCTTTACTTTTTTCACAAAGATAACCAACATTTAAATTGCTGTTGGTTATACTGTATTAAACGACAGAAATAATTTTTGTCGATTATACTTAATTTTCAACGTCCATTTTTTCGACAATGCTATTTGTCGATGATGTCTGTTGGTTATGATATAATCGATAGAATATCCCTTATAATCAATAGTACTTTCTATCGAATATACTGCGTTCTCTAGTAGTGATCCCAATATGTTGATCTTGGGTCTTCAACAAGTTATCAAAACGATCATCTCGCATGCCCTACAAAAATCAAACAATTCAATTTCATGCACCATAAACTATATATGAGAGACATACAAAAATAAATAAATAGCATATAACATTCTAGCTGCTGAACTATTCAATATCCTAAGACTTAATTAGCTTAATGGTAATCTCTTTCTAAGAGATCCTTAAATTTGAGTGTGGGTGGGGTAGATTAACGATGAAAAGAGTTACTTTCTATTGTACAATCTAAGATTTTATATATATATATATATATATATATTCAATATACTAAACTAACATGCCTGCAGTAGTTAAAAACAAAAGAGAAAAGCATAAAAAAAGCTAAAATATAACCTGTCACTCTCTTCCAGAAAACTAAAATTTAACCAAAAACTTGATAACAAGTAAGCACAAACATATCAAAAAAGTTTCATATCATGCCTACGCTATCACTAAAAATTTTTGGTTTTATGATTCAACAATTATAAACATTAAACACAATTCACAAATTGAAAAATTAAGAAACCTGGAAACATATCACATGGAGGCAATTTATCAAACTTCATATTTGTTTTTTTTCCATTCCCAATTCTCACACTCAGAGGTAATAACAACAGAAAATAAAAGTTGAGAAAAGCAAGCAATAAACAACAGCAAGGAAGAAGAAGCAGGAAAGTCGAAACCTGCTTAAGCTTCCTCTCAAGCAAGGATTGCAGTTTCCTCCTAAAAGCAAATGGCTTAGGCCCCTTCCCAGCCTCCTCAAGCGAACTCTCGAATCTCTCCCTGAAATTTGGTAGCGCCATATATTTTAGATCAACGGAAGCAGATTACGATTTTCCTTTATGATGGATTCTCTTCTCAGGGTTAGGGTTTTGTCTATGGGGTTGGCCGTCTCATTTAAAGGGTTTAAAGCCAATTGTCATCCCTCTACTTTGATATTTTATTTGTTCTTGTCCCTCTATTAAGGATTTGTTCGTTGTCGTCCCTCTACTTTACCAAAGAGCCAAACGGCGTCCCTCTACTCCTCTTTTTCTATTCATTGTCGTACCTTCCCTGACGCCGTTTCATGTTGCCGCTGCTGACCATTAAGTCCTAAAGCGGTCAACAGTTAAAACCATTTGTTTTATTTTTTTTCCACATGTGCTGCCACCTATGCAAGAACGGGACCACTTTGCCCACTTTGCCTCCCTACTTACTCGGACCCCGTACTTTCTTTTTCTCTTTTTTTTTTTTTTTTTCTTTTTTTTTTTTTTTTCCCGGGATGCCAACAAAAAAAGTAAGCCAAGGAGGAGAATCATCAGTTAAGTAACTTACAGTAATAAATTTAATTAAATACATATAATTTTTTGAAAT